ACCTTTACTTTAATCAAGTTGCATCTGTAAAGGTTGGCAACGAACTATCAGAAGAAATAGAAATACAACGAGGGGTAAGGCAGGGATGCATATTGTCTCCGCTGCTTTTTAACCTCTATTCAGAAGAGGTAGTTCAGAAGGCACTAAAGGAAACATCAAGTGGAATTAAAGTCAACGGAGAACTTATAAATAACATCAGATACGCCGATGATACTTTAGTAATCGCAGAGTCAGTTGAAGAATTGCAGGTTCTGATAAATAAGATTGTAGACAGTAGCGAAGAGGCTGGACTTACTTTAAATATCAAAAAGACGAAATTCATGACCATCGCAAAGACACAACAACAGGACACGTTATGGATTAGGGACGAACTCGTTCAAAAGGTGAACAGATATACATACTTGGGAACAATCATAACCGAAAACAACGATTACACACAGGAAATCAAATCACGTATAGGAAAAGCCCGATCAACATTCAATACTATGAGAAAAGTACTTTGCAGCAATGATCTGAGTCTGCAACTTAAAGTACGAATGCTTAGATGTTATGTATTTTCTGTGTTATTATATGGAATGGAGGCTTGGACGCTTAAAAAAGATATAAGTAACAGAATAGAAGCGTTTGAGATGTGGGCTTATAGAAGAATTTTAAAAATAAGTTGGATCGATAAGGTTACGAACAACGACGTTTTAAAAAGAATGAACAAGGAAAAGGAGATATTAAATACAATTAAAATAAGAAAATTGCAGTATCTGGGTCATGTCATGAGAGGTGAGAGATATGAGTTGCTGCAGATCATTATACAGGGAAAGATACTGGGCAGAAGAAGCATAGGCCGACGACGTGTATCCTGGCTAAACAATTTGAGGCAGTGGTACAATTGTAACTCTGTTGAGCTGTTTAGAGCAGCAGTGTCAAAGGTGAAGATAGCCGTGATGATAGCCAACCTTCTTAAAGGAGACGGCACTTAAAGAAGAAGAATTGCTAAACCCTCTGGTTGTCTATAAATTTTATCGTTAAAGATAAAGAAATCTTGGGAAAGGCAAAATTGGAGTAGAGAAGTAATTTGTGAACATTTATTTTGGTCAATGTTTTTTCTTTGTAGAAGGTTATTGATGATTGGAATGGTGTCTAATCTGGGAACATTGGTGAACAGATTTGTTACATCGAAGGAGACCATAGTGAAGTTATTCGGAAGGGTATGTGAAGAAATTTTGGAGATTAAATCTAAAGTGTTGGCAATAGTTAATTACACTCCCAAATATACTATTGCCAACACTTTAGATTTAATCTCCAAAATTTCTTCACATACCCTTCCGAATAACTTCACTATGGTCTCCTTCGATGTAACAAATCTGTTCACCAATGTTCCCAGATTAGACACCATTCCAATCATCAATAACCTTCTACAAAGAAAAAACATTGACCAAAATAAATGTTCACAAATTACTTCTCTACTCCAATTTTGCCTTTCCCAAGATTTCTTTATCTTTAACGATAAAATTTATAGACAACCAGAGGGTTTAGCAATGGGAAATCCTTTATCTCCTCTACTTGCAGATCTTTTTCTAGACTCTCTCGAAACTAACTTTGTTCATTCTCAACCACAAATAATCATATGGTACAGATATGTGGATGACATTTTAGCCTTTATAGAAGGCCCACCTTCAGAACCTCACAATATTTTGTCAATAATTAATAATCTACATCCTGCAATTAATTTTACCTTAGAAGTAGAAAGCAACAACATTATCAACTTTTTAGACCTAACTATCAAAAAGAATACTTCCTCCTTTTCTTCTTTGCCTACACTAGAATTTTCAATATTCAGAAAACCTACTCAAACTGACCATATGATACCAACATCATCAAATCATCCTTTTCAACACAAGATGGCAGCTATTCAATGTTATGTCCACAGACTTCTTAATATCCCTATGTCTCAAGAAAATTACAATAAAGAAATCTCCATCATTAAACAGATAGCAAACAACAATGGTTTTCCTTCTACTACTGTTGATAAAGTCATTAGAAAATCTATACTCAAAAAGAGACTAAACCAAGCTTTTAATGTTGATAACAAATCCAACACTACTTCCATATATAGATCCTTAACTTACTTAGGACCAATTTCAGAAAAAATTTCAAGAGTACTTGTTAATAAAATTAATGACTTAAACATCTCCTTTAAAACCAAATATAACATCAAGTCCATCTTCAGCAAGACCAAAGACAAAGTAGACAAACTAAACAGAAGTGGTATTTACAAGCTGTCCTGTGGTGACTGTAATATGACTTATGTAGGTAGAACAATGAGAACTCTGAATCAAAGAATCAAAGAACACCTCAATAACCCAGAAAAATCAAACTTTGGATATCACATTAAATTTAATAATCATTCTTTTTCTCCTTCTGAAAACAGTAAAATTTTACACAACATTCCCAATAAAAACTTTAGACTCATGAATCTCTTGGAAGATCTAGAGATATCCAAAGAAATGAAAATAAACCCTGACTGTTGCTTAAACACACAAATCAACCTCAATTGCAACTATAAACCTCTTTTTAAATTATTATGGGAGACTTTAGAGGAAGAAGGGTGACCTCATGCAATCTTGTTATATATTTTTCATACTTTTATATTTTTAAACAAATTTTAAACTTTATTAAAATTTACAACATTTTGTAATTCATTTGACAGTTGTTCTTAATTGAAACATGAAAATACATTCTTAAAAAATTTTTTATGCAAAGTTCTTACAATTTTCTATCAAGACATACAATTCTTAATACACTTAAGTATCAGATAACATAACATTAATACCAGGTTTCTTCTTTATAGTGTTGTTGAACAATTTGAGCCCTTGTTCCTTAAGGATAGCTGTCAGATTGAACATACATTGACCTTGAGCAACGACTCGAGTGAATTTACAAATTAATGTCATTCTGTATGATGTGATGAACACATATAATTTTAAAAACTTAATTTTTAGAAAGTCTTTGATGACTAGTAGTAATTCCAAACTACTAAATATTTTTGTAAGAATTAAAAAAACAATCTCTATTTCCTATATATGACATTTGTCACCTGTCACTTTTGAAAAATCGTTTAAAAGGACCGACATTTGATTTCACTAGTTCTATTCAGTCTACGTCCTCACATCAATCAATGGTCGGGTTTTAAACCCGTACCATGACAAAAATTTTTTCAATTTTTTAACGTGTTTGTGAAGTCCAGTGTCGACTTTTTATATGTTTTTTATATGTTTTAATAATTCCAACTCCTACAAAATCATATTTTTGAAATTTAAGGAAATGAGATCTCTCCTTTGTAGTGGTATTTAAAAAATTGACGTAAGTTAAAAATTACAATCTTTACCAATTATTACTTATTAGAACATTTTATTGTAGCATAGCTCTGATGATGGCTTTGTAAAGCCGAAAGCGCTCAGCTAGGAATTGCATAAAATATACACACTTCAAAAATACTTTTTTGCATTTTCTTTAATCAAATAGTTGAATAATTTAACTAATTACGTGTTTATGAAAAGGTTCAATTTCGTTAACGATAAAAACGTTCATGACCCACCTCCAAAATATACCTAAAAAACCTGTCCTTATGCAGTTTACCATTAAACACCATTAAAGAGGATGTTTTATGATTGTTTTATTGAAAATTTGGTTACAATTTCGTCTAATAATAATGTCTCATGGATTTAAGAAATTTTGTACCAGTATTTGTGTCAGTTTGTTTTTAATATCATCATTCAGTTTTGAATGGCAATATAACGGCGCCACTGATCGCCAATTTTTTTAATCAATTCTATGTTTCAATTAAAATATGTAATAAGTCAACCTTGCCGCTGTTTCTTAGGTGTAAGCTGGATCGGAAATAATCCTCTTACTAATAGGCGTCTATAAAAAATGAGGAGGGGAGACCAAAGGGAAATATGATTGTTACCTTTATCTATTCGCTGAAAATATGATTTTATATCGGTGTTACATATCCTGTTAAATTCTACTGTAACGACCATAAACTTTTACCTACACTTTATGTAAATATTCACAGTCATTTGAGCTCAGCTGCTGTGTATATTTAGGTATACACATGGCAGTGAAAGTTTTAAAATTATTTTGTCCTATTTAGTACAAGTATTAAAAAGAAATAGGGCACTGAAAAAAGGCCGTGAGAAACACGAGTCTACCGTTATTTAAGAATATATTTTTGCTTTACACTGGTACAATCGTATCGTCAATATTTTTAACATTAATAAAACAATTTCTACGGTATTTGTTTTACAAATGTGACAATGTTTTCTTTCATTTCCTGTTATTCTTGCCGTACCTTCTTCTTAACTCCTCATCTACTCTCTTTAAATCCACAAGTTCCGAAGCTCGTCATTGCCACCCCAGGCGTTTTGACGGAATTCTCCATCGTTCACGGCCCAAACTGACCTAACTAAATCTATGTATGTAATCAGAGAGGCAGGAAACGGTTCCACGAATGGCGAACGGGAAATTACAGGGTAGGAAAAGGGAGATTCGTTAGCTAATTGAAGAAATTAATAAAGGGCGAAGGAAAAGGTAGGCAATTATGTCATTGATTTCATTATTTCTGTTACTTCTTTCGAATTAGCCGCTATTAGCTAGAGAAATTGGGGATTGCGTAACAAACAATTTACTTCCAAATGAAAAACACACGGAGCTTTTAGTGAGACGTCTTAAAATAAAGATATTTATTATATACATAGTTATTGTACGAGCCCCAACAACTATTTGGAAGAAGCAGTTGTTTTGCGAATAAAATGCCAATTGACTGAAATTCTTTTATTTAAATTTTTTTTAATTGTAAATATGAAATTAACGACACCACTTTTTATAATGTATGAAATTATTTTTAAAGTTTAATTATATATTTTATATTGTTCTGAAGCTATTTTCTCATTGCATTTTAAATTAATACACATTTTTTAATATAACACTTTTTTTTGTTTCAGTTCACTGTATGCAAGATGCAGTGCACATCACAGCAATACTCGGTGAGTCGGTGGTATTCAACTGCCACGTGGAGTTCCCTGAGGGACACCCCGTGCCGTATGTGTTACAATGGGAGAAGAAGGTAGGCGAAACGGTAGGATATCACAACTTCTGCTCTCTTTACTTTGGTGGCCCCGGTGTCTAAAATTGGGCAATTAAGGAGCCCTGGGTTTGGTCCTTGCGGAACCACGTAGTTTGGGTTACTCGTAGTTGGCAATTAGTTTTGACATAGGCGAAAGGCAGTGGTAGGGACGATCACAATATTTACAATCTTAATTGTTTACAATTTAGTAGTAAAAGCTGAAATAACAAGGCTTAACAGTGCCTTGTCATGTGTTATGTGTTTCTATTGTAGTAGATTTAAAATTTATTTATACTCATTCAAAACTGTTGGAGAACAGTCGAGGTAAATAAAATCGACTAAAAATCATGCATATTTACATACATTACAAGGCTCTAAAACACTACTAGGTATGTTTTACCACGTTGTAGGAAGAATGTCGAACTATTTTGAAACAGACATCACTGAACCTAAAGCAAATATTTATTTTGAGTAAAAATTGTTGCGCGAAAAAACTATCCTGAATTCAAATATCTACAAAACTCACGTAAATGTGAAACATCATGCTACAAAAAAGCGTTTTTAACATACTTTAACTTTAAAACAATTTTTTAATCAGAATATAATGGTGACATCCCTATTATGTCTAAACTAGTTGCTTGTAAGGTTCCGCAAGGTGTATATTTTGACATGTTGCATAACACTTTTAGAAATGTTGTTAGAAGTATCCATAGCTCATGTATATAACTTTAACTAAGGGTAACATTATTGTAGACTGTGTTTTTTGGTCAAGCACCTCATTTGCTGTATTCAACATCTAGCCAGGTTTTACATATTTAAAAGAGGATAGTTCCCAGTAGTTGGCTTTATACCATAGTTTAAACATTTTACTATAAAGTAAAAAGCAATGTAATTGGTATTGGGACCGTGCAAGTTCGGAACAGCGACACCTGGTGTCGTAAATCAGCAAAATTTACTGCGCTTTCATGTTAGATCAAGGTTACGGGATAACTGTCAAGGACGTAGCCCCAAAAAAGAATAAGAAGAAAAAGTAAGATTCAGGTTATGTCGGTATGCTATTAAAAGGTAAACGTTGACAAATAAATATATTATTAATTTACAGCATTACTGTTAATATGGATGCAATAATAAAAACTGGATTTGAGAAAGTAAAACACCAAATAACTTTTCAACCAAGCACTGAGTCAAATGCAAAAGCTTTAGTAGTGGCAAATGTCAAAAAAGAATGGAAGAATTATGTGGAAGAATTAAGAAAAATAAATTACCATAAATAATGCTAATGCATAAATGCATAAATTAACAGGTTAAGCCCATGATATCATCATATTGGTTTGAACAATTAATTCTTTCCCTGTATACTTTTGGACAGCGAATATATTGATGCATAACTTGATGCATTTTTTTAAACTTCAAAAAAATAAAATTTAAACATTAAACAATCGTAAAATATTGTTGCTTCTTAAAAGGCAGAAAATATTGATTTTTCACGTTGAGAAGCCCTATGAATAGCTCTTCTGACGAGACCTATTAGGTCGAAATACGTATCAAGAGATACATAGGATTTGTTTGCGTGAAATCAAATATTTGCTGCCTTTTCTCATTTTAAACATTAAACTTGATTTTTGGGTTAAAATGAAAAGTGAGTGTTATGAAACTAAAATTTACACTTAAAAGTGAACTTTTATTTATTATTTATTTTAAACTGACTTTAAAATCGGGCATAAGAATAATGCATAATTTAGGTTATGTTACTTATGTTTTTTTATGATATAAATCCACTTTTCTCTTTGTGGTAATTTGTGCTTTGAAGTTGGAAACGAACTTCAAAGCACAAATTTAAGTTAAAACTTAAATTGACAATTTTTTGTTGTATTTTTACAATTTATAACACAGCATTTCCTAAATCCCATTTTCTTCAGTGACAGAAGGTGTAAATAAACAAACGAATATGAAATATGACAATTCACAATATGAATTTATGAAATCTATGAAATTTGCAGTAAAAAATGCAAGATCTCTCCGCTACTCGCGCACGATCGTTTCTCGTATCACATCCAAGTACTTGCACGTTGCCATACTTAGAACATCTAAACGCATTAGAACTTTTCAAAAGGTTTACGGTCTTATCCGACCATTATCTTCTTAAAAGTACTTAAAAATCTCTCAAAAAATATTATAAAATTGTTGAAATTTCATTTTGTAGACTGAAAAGATTAAAATTAAAGCGACGCAATATCGATGTTATTTGAGGTTACTAAAAGTGAACATATTGGCTCTTACTCGAAATACCGCTATCATTACTGGAGTTTTTATTTTCCAGAGATCACCTGGCCAATAACTTTATAATCTGGCGCCGAAAATGCTCATAGTTTGTTTAAAAGCTTTGTAGTAAATTCGAACCTGGTACAACTCATCACAGAACCTACTAGATTTAGAATTAATAACAAACCTTCTACTTTGGATCTAGTGCTTATTAACAGCGAATAGCTTATTTTAACTCTAGAAGTCAGTTTTCCTATAGGAAAGTCAGATCATGCAGATATAATGGTTCACATCCAGTTCAATCAAATACTACTCCGCAAAAATAATATTGTAACATATGCTACTACCGACTTTTCTGAAATTGGCACTGAACTCTTCCAAATCAACTGACATTTATATTTTGCAGACTTAAACGACCCCTCATTATTGTGGACTGCACTTCTCGATACCGTCCACAATATAATTTCTACAAATTCCACCTTCCGTAAGATTTAGAAAAATAACCTTAAACCCTGGATAAATCGAACAGTAATAAAACAAATTCTTCTTCTTCTTATCATGCCATACACCAAAGTGCGTAGGCGACTATCTCATTACTAGAATTCTGTTCTTGGCGGCGTGACACAGCTCGCCTGTATTGTGTATTCCTGTCCATTCTTTAATATTCCTTAACCAGGATAATTCTTTGCGGCCGGCTCCTCTCCTACCTTCGATCTTTCCTTGTAGGATTAACTGTGGTATTTCATATTTTGCTCCTCTCAATTTGTGCCCCAGGTAACCAATCTTGCGTTTTTTAATTAATTCAAAGGGTTCTCTTTCCACGCCGGCTCTCTTAAGGACGTCGTCGTTTCGAACTCTATCCACCCAAGGTATGCGCATCATTCTTCTCAATGACCATATTTCAAATGCTTTAAGTTTGTTGATAGATGTCTTTTTCAAAGTCCACGTTTTCATGCCATAAACCAAGATGGACCATATGTAGCACTTGACCATTCTGTAGCGTATTTCGAAATTTAGGTTTTGATTACATAGGAGCGGTCTGAATTTCACAAAAGCTTGTCTTGCCATTTGTATTCGGGTTTTTATCTCGTGTTGTGGATCCGATTGTTCATTGATTGTGGTGAAGGTATTTAAAGGAGGAATTCTGGAGGGTTTCTGCTAATGACCATATATTTTGTTTTCAAAATGTTGATTTTGAGGCCATATTTTTTACCTATGCTATTCACCCTATCAAGTAATAACTGCTGATCTTCCAAATTATCAGTTATAATCACTGTGTCGTCTGCATAGCGTAGGTTAAAAATTGGTATGCCGTTCGTCTTAATGCCTAATTCCGTGTCTTATAATGCTTCCGCAAATATATTTTCAACATATAAATTAAAAAGCATCGGAGAGAGTATGCAGCCTTCGCGGACACCTTTCCGGATTTCAAATTCATCCGTATATCGGTCTTGATCAATCCTCGCCTTTGCCATTTGGTTCCAGTATAGATTCTGAATGATTCTGATCTCGTTCTGGTCAATGTTGGCCCTATGTAGTAGTTCCGTCATGATATCATGTTTAACATTGTCAAATGCCTTCTTGTAATCGATGAAGGTGAGGTAGGCATCTTTTCGTTGATCTAAGCAGTTTTGTATTAAGGTGTTCAAACATAAAATTGCCTTTCTTGTTCCTAGTCCTCCCTTAAAACCGAATTGTGTTAACCCGCTAAGTTCTTATAGTGTCTTGTACATTCTTGAGTGTAATATCCTAAGGAAGAGTTTTCACGATCCCGGTGAAAACAGACCTACTTCAGGGACTAGCGAGCCTGCCCCCGCTAGCTCATTATATTCCACCATCTCACTCCCTGGAATCTCATGTCCCATAACCTTTATCCTACACCTTCCATAGTTATCCCTCCTAGCCCTCAACCATAGTGAAGGGCAGCAGCGATCACCAGTACCAACGCAAGGCGCAAAAGAAATTATCTTGGACCGGCTTGTTATTGGAATTTCACACACATGACTAGGACAGCTTGAATGGCTGTGGTACTGCGGTGTTGAAAGTAACGGGATACTACAACACTACCTTTTCCCCAGGATAACTCATCTCATTATGGCAGAATTCAGTAAAACAAATTAAGGAGACAATTTGTTTTGGATAATAAAAGAAATGATTGCATACGGTTATCTTCGACATGGAGACCTCTTATAAAGAAAATATCATCCGCTCCACCTTCCAATTAACATCCTACTGTCAGAAATGTTCGCGCCAATCCCCGCGCCAATCCCCGCGCCAATCCCTGCGCCAATCCCTGCGCCTGATATAAACATCAAAGAGAATGTCAAAAACTCGGCACATTGATAATCGACGCGGTTCAGTCCGAAAGTCTATTTAATTTAATATTAATTCTTGTAATAGTATTAATCTTAGCTCTAGGTTAAATTGTACTAACCGTGGAAAACTATGGTTCTTAAGCATACTCCAAATTAAGAAATCCATAGGAGTAATGTCCGGCGACCTTTAAGGCCATGATTCGTTTTCATCTGTACGAATCCATCCAGGAAAATGTTGATTTAGGAAAGAGCGAACTTCCAGACCAAAACGATGGTATATTTTGGGTGTTCCAGAAAGTTAGATAAAAAAATTAGTTTTTGTTTAAACTTTTTTTATGTTTTATTGAAATGACATAATAGTTATTTCATTTTTAAGTTTAATATAATTTAGAATAAAAATACCCTTAGAATAAAAATAAACAAGTGGTGTTTTTG